AACCACCAAAGGCTGCATTTCAAAACACTGACTGCCACTCCACATCCAGGCCTATTACGAAAATGATAGCCACCTTATCCATGAAGCTAAAGCACTGCCAAACAAGCCCTTTGCCACTCCAGAGCCCCATGATCCCCCCTGAAATCAGTTCTAGCTCAACGGCGGCATATTCCAATGAGATTTCCCAGCTGAGAGACACCATACAGGTCTGCTCTCCTCACCAATACATTTCTCCGTTCTTAATCACGGGTATGTCCTCTGGAATCTAACAAGGGTTGGAGTGAGGAGGTACAGGAGAGGACTGCATATAATAAATGTATTCTGCCACTTCACTTTCCTGTGCCTTCCTCCTACCTGCACAGCTAGAGATGTTAAGGGATCTCAACCACATTGAAATGTCAGCCATTGCTGAACCCAAGTTTGAATCAAATAACCAGGCAAATTGCTGGAGCCATATCCAGGTGCTGAAGTTAACACATTAAATCCAGACTCCTGTTAAGAATACTCCTATACATAAATTTGGCTCCATCCGAATTAAGTACACACATATTTGTATGTTGCATCCTCCTTAGTCTACTTAGAATCCAACCCCACACATTACTTCTAGATTGCTGCTAACACAAATTAGCCTGCTACCTGATAGGCCAATCATCCCCATGAAAGACTGGGATCTGGTTCAGTTTTAAACCAGAAGGAAATGAGAGGTAAACGTACAGTTAGAGCACTAAGGGAATAGTATCCCTTTGGCTACAGAGCTTCCTAAATAATCTCCAGCCTCTGACTTATTCCTTCTTAATCTTAATATCTGGCAATCTCTCAAATCAGAATTTTTAACATTTACACAACCACCACCCCAACTAAGCTATTAAACCACCCATCTGGAGTACTGCCTCTTAATGACTTGAAAATGTAATTGCTACATACCATTCACCCAAGGAAACTGTAATTAAAACATGAAGCCAATAAAAGGTTATAAACAGATTTACATTTTTAGAAAACTCATTCTTGTAACTCTATGCAGAATGGAAGAAAGAGGATGGAGTAGTGGAAGCAGGAAGGCTGGTATTAAGTTATATCAGACGATGGTAGCTTTGGACTAAGAAGCTAGCAGTGAAGATGGACAGAATGGCAAAATTCAATAGGACATAAATGATGGATTGGTTGGACAGGTGAGGAGGAAAAAGAGATAGTAATAACAGATTTCTACTGAGTAGAAATAATGCCATTAGCTAAGAGAGAGATGGTCATCTCCACATGTAAATCGAAAGGCCAGAGAAATGGTCTGGGGTATAGATATAAATTTTGAAGTAAATGAATATATATATTTCATATTGATATTTAAAGCAATACTACTCAAATGTGTACCACAGACCACTGCTGAGTCGCCAACTGTTTGTCACTGGTCCATGGCAACATAAGTACTGAAATTGAGAGTAAGCATTTAGAAACTTTTATAGCAGTTTTACAGAGAATTTTTATATCTGTTGAATCTAATTTAAAAACGGGTACTTTTATATGTCTTCTTTTTTAAGTTAATTTTTCTAGTAACTCATTTTTGTTGAATTTTATATAAGTATCAGTCTCTTGTAGATTAAAAATGTTTTTTTTTTTTTTTTTTAATAAAAGACTCTTCACCACAAGTTGGAAGGCACTGACTTAAAGCTATTGTAATGAATGTAATTACTTGCAGAGAGAAATCTAAAGAAAAATTCTTAAAAAATTCCATACCCTGGAATGTAATTCCTTGGGTCATTTTACTGTCCATATCTCCTTATCACAACTAATAAAACTTACAGAGCACATACTTCTTGCCAGCCAGTCTTTACATGGATTATTCCATTTAATCCTCATAAAATGTAAATAAAGCTGGTATTATTATCCTCATGTTATAGATTATAAAATTAAGGGTTAGGAAAGTTAAATCACCCATAGTGTCAGTCCATTCAGGCTGCTATAACAAAATACCTTAGACTAGGTAGTTTATAAACAAAAGAAATTTATTGCTCATAGTTCTGGAAGCTGGTTAGTCCAAGATAAAGGTGCCAGCAGGTTCCACGCCTGGTGAGGAATCTCTCGCGGTGTCATAGCTGGTGCCCTGTTGTTGCTTCTTCGCGTGGTGGAAAGGGTAAATGAGCTTCTTCATGCCTGTCCTATGAAGGCACTAATCCCATTAATGAGGGTGAAACCCTTATGATCTAAACACCGCCCAAAGGCCCTGTCTCCTAACACTATCATCTTGGGGGTTAGGATTTCAATCTATAAATTTGGGCAGAGGGAATACAAACATTCAGACCACAGCACACAGTGAATAGTTAGGGAGCTGGGATTTGAACTCAGGCCAGCTGACCCAAGTCTCAGCTTTTAACCACTGCAGCCTACACTGTCAGCCCCCAATCAGTGATCTGATCTATGTAGAGCAAAATATTTCACGTGAAACTCGTCAAAACTTCCAAGGGTGCGACCTCCAGACCCAGAAATTTATCTTGAGTGTATAACATCTTAGTTATCAGGTAAATTTTATATACTATCATTTATCACTGGATTATTCCTATTACCTCCAACTAGCCAGTAAATTACTCAGGAACAAAAGACAGGAGTGTACTGTCTAGAACATAACATATTGCCTGGCAAATATTGAGTGAGTTAATGCCTGTCTCAAGAACATTGGGACCTAAGAGTTTATCTTTTCTTAATAGAAAAATAAAGTAGCTTACCCTGTCCATCAGCTTAGGTAACACAATAACATGGTCACGGATTCTCCAGTTACCTTTTTTTATTGAGAGGTTTCATTATTGACTTGAGTTTTCCCACGAGGCTTCCAAAACTGGTTAAGTTTTTACCTCGGCTTATCATCCTTTGAAAACTGACATATATTCTATTCCTTTAGAAAGTATTTCTGCTAATTCTCTTACATTTATTTTTAACCAAAAACATATATCCAAACATTATATAAATTACACATGGCTTTTGGTTAAGTTTCTACAATTCCTTTCCAAAGCCCATAACAAACAATTAAAAATAAAAATTGAGCCAGGTGTGATGATCACACCTGTAATCCCAGCACTTTGGAAGGCCGAGGCAGCAGGATCACTTGAGCCCAGGAGTTCAAGACCAGCCTGAGCAGCATAGCAAGACCCCATCTCCACAAAAATTTAAAACTCAGCCTGGAGAGGTGGCATATGCTACTCAGGAGGCTGAGGCAGGAGGACTGATTGAGCCTAGGAGTTCAAGGCTGCAATAAGTTATGATCTTGCCTCTGCACTCCAGCCTGGGCAACAGAATGAAATCCTTTCTCAAAAAAAAAAAATAATAATAATAATAAAATAATACGTTAACCAATACACATTACATTGTATTGGTTATTTATTATTTAATCTATTCTTTTCCACTTTTGTCTAACTCACACCTGAATTTTGTCTTAGCTCCAAGAAAATAAGATTTTCAGCTATACATAGAGGATTTCTTTTTTTTAAAAAAAAAAAAAAAAAGCTGATATCTACCCATATGTAAAGCTGGCCTGTAACAAAAGCCAAAACAAAACAAAACAAAAAACAAATAATCATGAACTACACGGTCACATGTTGGAGACCACTTAACTTCTAATTACTATTTTTCTCATAAACGCACTAGGGAGAAGAGAACTAAAACTGAGGGAAATGGCAACAATAACCAGCAAAGGCCAGTCAATAAGGCCCAGAATTGAAAATGAGGAGTATAAGACAGTTAAAGCCATTATGAGATTTTGCTGTCTTTCTCCAGCTATACAAACTGCTAAGAAGAGTGCCTCCATATCACCTGTCTGGTGGCTGAATCTGGAAATTACAACAAGCTCCTACTGTATTGCCTAAGAATGTTGGAAAGCGCGCACGTGCACCCATGCCCGCGCACACACACACAATTTATTTAAAATCAAATTTTGTCTAAAAGAATCCATCACAAACATTAAAAGCTAAAAGGAGTCTTAGGGAATTCACCTTCTCAGTAACCGAATTGAGGTCCAGACCACGAATTATTCAGCCCCAAAATCTCTCTCACACACACCCATACAGAAAACGCCAACTGACAGGGACTTAAAAGCTTAAGAAAAAAGAGAGCACAGAGCCAACACAAGTGATACAGCACCAAATCTGGCTATTTATGGCTTATTCAAATTTGTAGTATTTCCTGGATTATAATGAACCTTAACTAAAAATCAAAATAAAATTAAACCACAATGTCATTAACAAATAACAACTAACAATAACATCTATATAAAAACATCTTTGATGCCATAAAATATTAAGTGTCTAAAACTTTAACATTTATCATTATATTTTCAGCCAGATTTTTCCATTAATGCAAAAATGGTTGTTAATAATGTGTAATAATCAGTAAGGTTGCAAGCTTAAGAAATATTTAGTTCAACAAAGCGTTTGATTTTTTTTTTAAGCCAAAGAAAAAGTATTCAGACCTGGAGTGAATCACAATGTGATACAGCCTTGGTTGCATTTAAAAGTGTAAATTCTGTTTTAAGCATTTCCACTCCACTTGAGAAAGAGCAACCACAAAATTCCCAAATGTCAACACAGATGGAAGTCGAGAGGAACAGCAATGAAATTTAAAATGCAAACTATAACCTAAAAAAGAAGTACTCTTCCGTTCTCCTTAATGTTATGATGAGTATCCCCAAAGAGAGGAAAAGCCCCATTTTCTCCCATGTTTGTACACAGAAATCGGCACAGTTAATGGGAAAACATTCCAAATAATACGAGGCATAATATAAAAGCCATGTATACATCACACGAGTTATATGTATATGTGGCATATATACAACACAGATATACACACATAACATGTATGATACATAAAAACGCATGATATTCTATATCTTTTACATATGTAATATATAATATATATTATAACCAGAGTTCTAATTTTAGTTTAGCCCTCCATCTTCCCATCTACATTCCCTAGAATCGCTTGAAAATCTTGATATTATAAAAAGATATTTCAAAACATACCTCAATATAAACCAGTAGTGCCTTAAAAATAAGACAGCAAAGGCTTTCTCTTGTATGTTTTCGTTTGCCAGACTTCCCCCCATCAAGAATCTAAATCCTTCTAGATGATGTCATTAAAACCAACTTCAGACCCAAAGAGTAGCTTCAAGAGCCTCTACTTAGAATGCTGTCTCCTCTCAACCCAAAAATCATAACTAATTCACATCCATTTGGGATAGAAAGGCAGATAACCTGTTTCATTCACTTTTAAAATATGACTTTCAAAAGAGAATTTGCTACCTATTAAATGAACTGGAATTTTTTTTAAAAAATCAGCAAATCTGTCTCTTATTCTAGTGTGAATACTGTTGTTCAGGAAAATGCTATGAACAATTTTAAAAGTTCAGGTGGACAATTAAAATTCTATTCATTAAAAAAAAGGATGGTTTAGGACATAAATTGAAATAGATTTGAAATAAATATGAAAACTGGGCATGTCTTCCCCTTAGTAATAAAAATGAAATAATATTTTTGTGAACCAAATAATATCAAAGGCGGCATAGGCACCTCATCATTTGCTATGCCATAAACACAAAAAGGAAACCCTCTTAGGAAATTCACGTCGAATTTTAACAGTGAAGGTGAATGAAGCCAGGAAGGATAGAAATTACTACTGGCCTGGCTGGAAAAGCATGTTGGGCCTGAGGCAAAAGAAGTTTTTTAAACAGGAGAATGTTCTGAAATAGAAAGCATGTTAAACAGAATTGCCCGAGGACTGTTAGGAAATGAAAAATTACACTAACTGCATTGGGAACAGCAACCTGATAAAAGCACAATGCACAAATTACAATCTTCTTCACGAGCAGTATTAGACACGAGAAAGGTTAAGCTGTATGTGAGACAGGTTTTGCCCACCACAGGCCACTACATGATAAAAGAATTACTCCCAACCGTTTCTAGGGACCCTCTAACAACTACAGTAATAAATATTTCCAGATTCCTAATATTACAGAACAAGCTAGACCAGACCCCTAGTCAATATATATTTGCAAAACACCCCTGAGTGCAAACCTCTATTCTAAATTCTATAGAAAACATCAAAAGACAATAATGTGTTCCCTAACTACATTCTTCTCTTCTTAAATTCAAAACACACAGCCAGCATCCCAGAGATGCTCAGTGAGTCAGCACGTACTAAACAGCGTAGTGTGGAAAACACAACGTGGCTGAGAGCAGGAAAGCAACATTCCACTGGAAGCATGTGACTGATTGCTCACGAAGGCAAATACTTTTAAAAACGGCAATGTGTTTACAATGAGTACGAGGTTAACTATTAAGTATTTAAAATGAGATAAGCAAATATAATTAAAAAGTATAAACACTGAAGAAACTATCACCTAGCGAAAACAAGAAAAGCAAGTCATGAAGAAAAGAATATAAAAAGACACAAGGCACACACATAATCATGAACACACACACGCCCCCCACAATATTATCACTAGTTTTCAGTTTAACAGAGAATCAATCTTTCCAGCCTCCCTCTCTTACAGGCAAAGTCCAACTCAAAAATAATGCAAGTCACAATGAGTCACCTCACTTTAGCAAGATTCTTGGGACAACGAAGTGAGGAACAGCTGTTAATTTGGGCTGAATCCAAGTGAAGTTGGAATGTCCAGAAAGGTCTAGGGCTATTAAAGCAGACAGCAGTCACCTGATCTCAGTCATTTTATCAAGAAAGACCAGATTTACTTTGGCCCATGTTTTTGTTTTGTGTTGTTTGTGTTTTTGCTTTAAAGGATGGACATGATACATTTAGCATTAGAAAATGATATAAATAAGAATTACCTCAAAGAAAAGGTCAATATGGACTAGCCATGCCAAATAACTTAGGGCAAACATGACCACCTACTTAGCCACAGTTAAGTATGCAGCATATCTCCATGTTTACACTTAACATATCATCTATTTATTTACCTTCAAACATAAAAAAGCCACTAGTCAATCATTGCTGTGTCCCTATCTTAGGCTAAGTCAGAATCTCTTTGGGTCTGATTACCTCTGTTATGAACACAGGGCTGACAGAACCATTCTCCCTCCTTAATCTTCCCTTGAATCTCTTTGTGGAGTGATACCAACTCTTTTTCCAAAAGTTTTTATTTCAAATACCCACCTGCACTGTCTAATATGGTAGCCACCAGCCAAACATTGTTATTAAGCACTTGAAATATGGCTAGTCCTAACTGAGATGTGCTATAATTGTAAAATACACATCAGATTTCAAAGACTTAGTACAAATGACAGGTAAAATATCTCATCAGTAATCTTTTAAGTTACATGTCGAAATGATACTTTGCATACATTAAGTTGAATAGTGTAAAAATTAGTTTATTTCTACCTTTTTTAATGGGGCTACTAGAAAAGCTTAAATTACCTGTGTGATTTACATTACATTTCTATCGGATAACATTGGTCTGGGCAGGACACTTAACATGGGATCAGGAGGAGCATGAGCATTCAGTACTCACTTGCTTTCTGGAAACCTCCTCTCCAGACAACACTCATAATGTCCCCCTGACTCACTCAGGAATGCAGCCACTTAGCTTACTCAGGAATTCCTCACTCCCATTAAAAACAGTCCACTATCCCTTCCAAAATGGGTTTATCTGTTATAAAGAAACATGTTGCTGTGTTTTCAGATATGATTTACAAGCTATTTTAGAGGCTTCAGTGCTCACATAATGTGGCAATTCTTACACAAGCACATTTTGCAACTGAACCAATTTTGCAAGTAAACTTTCACTTTAAGTAACCAAAGCTGTAGAAAAGTTCAAATGATACCCTCACTAAATGTTTTAATGAAGATTAATGTCTTAGCTATTACAAAACTCACAGACTTCCACATTCTTAAAGACTCGTTCTAATTTTAATAGAGAAATAATTTTGAGAACTTAAAGCAATTCAAAAGAACTTCTTTGTCATATATGTATTCTCTCCTTCCTTAATAGAAGAAGATATGCTTTCATCTGTACTACACTGAATTTTGTGACGAAATATCTGCTCTGTGTTTATTTGCCTAACTGAGCTCCTGTTAGGCAGGAAGGCTATCTTACTCATATTTGTTCTGCTATCATATAGAAAAGTGTCTGTGCCAAAGAGGGTGTTAGGAATAAATTTCTTACAAATCTGCAACAGCAAAACTCATAGAACAGATGTAAGAAAAAGCAACTTTGATAATACTAACAATAAAACCCTTTTTACCTACAATAAGAGTTGGAAAACTTACTGTGACCACCAAAACATTAAGTAACTTGGTTAACCTCATCAGTATATACATGTATTACTTATTTTTAAAAATTTGAAATACATACTTATAGCTTACATATTTACAGAATAAAATTTAGCCCTTTGCTAACTCCATTTTGAAGCGAGGTATGGGACCACCTGCTACTGAAAGTATCCTCTGGGAAACGGCAGCGCCAGCATCACCTGGAAGCTTCTTAGAAAGGCAGACTCTGACCCTAAGGCACATAAAACGATGTATCCAGAAATTGTAATAATGATTATTGTAATGATGGTGATGATGATAATAATAATTATCAGTACAATTGGTAGAGATCACTTTTGGATGTTCAGTGCTTCAAATTCATTATAATGAGTTACAATTGTAGAATAAATATTTCCTCAAAAACTTAGCACAAACGACAGGTAAAATATCTCATCGGTAATCTTTTAACTTACATGTTGAACTGATACTTTGAATACATTAGGTTATAGTGGAAAAATTACTCCACTTTACCTTTCTGTTTAAAGGTGGATAAATTTTTAGCTGTATTATTCATAAATTTTCTAAATTTTGCCAAATAAACGTACAAACAACTTCCATCTCTCAACAACTAATCAATTTCTATCTGGAAAGTGGCATGCTATGATTTTTGATACATTTATAGGATAATGAACCTTGATAAACATCAAAGAAAATATTAATATTGGAATAAACTGAAGGCCAATTTCATTTAGATAAACTAATTTTGTAAAATACTGACATTAGTTAAGATTTAACCAATTCATTCTTACAAATAAAATCATAACACAAAATATTAGATTTACTTGTCATTTAAGTCAAGTAAACAGACAAAATGAATGAAACTTATTTTTAGAAGTAAAAGGTGTTTGTTTTTCCTCTGTACTTCAATGGATATAAATAAAGGCAATCGTTTTCATAATGTAGAAGTGAAGACTGATACTGTGAAATGAGAGGGTTCCAAGAATAAAACATAAAATTTTTTTGGTTTTTTTTCTTTTTTTTTTCTGAGACAGGGTCTTGCTCTGTCACCCAGGCAGAGTAGCGTGATACAATCTTAGCTCACTGCAGCACTGACTTCCCGGGCTCAAGCCATCCTCCCACCTCAGCCTCCCAAGTAGCTAGGACTACAGGTGCTTGCCAACTACACTGGCTAATTTTTATTTATTTTTGGAGAGATGGGATCTCACTATACTGCCCAGGCGAGTCTCAAAACTTCTGGGCTCATGCAGTCCAACCACCTCAGCCTCCCAAAGTACTGGGATTACAAACATAAGCTACCACATCTGGCCAAGAAATGAAGTTTTTATAAATAAAAAGTCAAATTAAAATGATAACCACTTCAGTTATGCAATATACATGAATGTATACATTCATACAGATTCATATGAAGAAACGTTTAGAATATAAATCAGCAATGTTGTGACATGATAGAAAAAATATGAAAGTTAAAAACTGAAAAGAAAAAAACCTTAACATGAGACACCTACTTGAGAATAAATTACTGTATATATCACAAATTTTTTGCCTGGCTTCCTAAAGTTTTGGGTTTGTCAAAGCTTAAAATGAGATCTCATAAATAAGAAAACTGACAGTTTGTTTCTATGCTTTCAACAAGCTATAATATGTGTAAAAATTATCACTGCTTGTACATTTCAGTGACGCCTGATTAAGGATGAGTGTAATTTTGGTCAGGTCACTTCTCAGTACAAGTTTGTCAGTTTATGATCATTAAAAGGAAGCAAACACACATAAGCAATAAAGTAAACCCGGACTTAAACCTAAAACATTACAGAAAAAATTAATGCACAATGGAACACACACTTAAACGTAATATGTAAAACAATAAAACTTTTAGAAAAAAAAATACAGAAAATGTTCAGGTCCTAGAGCTAGGCAAAGAGCTCTTAGACATGGCAACAAACACATGATTTATTAAAATAAATTAATGAATAAATTGAACTTTTTAACTTCACTAAAATTTAAAAATTTTGCTCTGTGAAAGACTCTGTTTAGAAGATAGAAAGACAAGCCACAGACAGAAAGAAAATATTTGTAAACCACAAATCCAACAAAGGATTTATGTGTAGAACATATAATGAATTCTCAAACCACAAAAATAGGCCGGGCTCAGTGGCTCACACCTGTAATCCCAGCACTTTGGGAGTCCGAGGCAGGCTGGTCATTTGAGGTCAGGAGTTGGAGACCACACTAGCCAACATGGTGAAACCCCATCTCTACTAAAAATACAAAAATTAGCTGGGGCATGGTGGCGCACACCTGTAAGCCCAGCTACTAGAGAGGCTGAAGCAGAAGAATCACTTCAAATGGGGAGGTGGAGGTTGCACTGAGCTGAGATCACGCCACTGCACTCCAACCTGGGCAAGAGGGCAAGACTCCATCTCAAAAAACAAAAACCAAAAAGTAAAAAAAGAAAAATCAATCTGGTTAGAAAATGGGCAAAAGACATGAATAAACATTTCACCAAAGAGAACGTACAAATAGGAAATAATGCTTAAAAGATTTTTCAATGAATTAGGTATTAGAAAAATGCAAATTAAAACCACAATGACACAGCACTACATACCTATTAGAATAGTTAACATAAAAACTAGTGATGGCCGGGCACGGTGGCTGACACCTGTAACTCCAGCACTTTGGGAGGCTGAGGCGGGCGGATCTTGAGGTCAAGAGACTGAGACCACTCTGGCTAACACAGCGAAACCCCATCTCTACTAAAAACACAAAACATTAGCCAGGCGCAGTGGCGGCGCCTGTAGTCCCAGCTACTCGAGAGACTGAGGCAGGAGAATGGCGTAAACCCGGGAAGTGGAGCTTGCAGTGAGCCGAGATCGCACCACTGCACTTCAGACTGGGGGACAGAGCAAGACTCTGTCTCAAAAAAAAAAAAAAAAAAATAGTGACAATACCAAATACTGGCAAGAATACAGATCAACTGCATCCAGTGGAATGCAAACCTGTACAGACACTGTAGAAAATATCTGGAGGCCGGGTGCAGTGGCTCGCGCCTGGAATTCCAACACTTCGGGGGGCCAAGGCAGGTGGATCATGAGGTCAGGAGATCAAGACCATCTTGGCCAACATGGTGAAACCCCGTCTCTACTAAAAATATAAAAATTAGCTGGGCATGGTCGTGCGACCTGTAGTACCAGCTACTCAGGAGGCTGAGACAGGAGAATTGCTTGAACGAGGGAGGCAGAGGTTGCACTGAGCCAAGATTGCACAACTGCACTCTAGCCTGGTGACAGAGCAAGACTCCATCTCAAAAAAAACAAAAAGAAAAACAAAACAGAAAATATCTGGAAATTCCTTATAAAACTAACAAATGCTTGCCACGTGACCCAGCTATCACAGCATTCCTGTGCATTTACCTCAGAGAAATAAAACCTATACATAAATATTCATATATTAGGTTTATTGCAATATTTGTAATAGCCAAAAACTGGGAACAATCCAAATGTCCTTCGACAGGTTAATAAATAAACAAACTGGACGGATGGTACATCCATACAATGGAATACCACTCAGTGACAAAAAGGAACAACCTACTGATATATGCAACATGGAGAGATCTCAAGGGATTTATGCTGAATGAAAAAAAAAAGCCACTGTCAAAAACTTATATATGATTTCATTCATAGAACACTCCCCAAATGAAAAAACTTACAGACATGCAAACCATATCACTCACTGGTTGCCAAAAGTTAAGGATGAGCGGGGGAGGGGCAATGGTGAGTATAAAGGAATAGCAGGACAGCATTCCTTTGTCGTGATGCAACAGTTCTATATCTTCAATGCAGTATCAGTTACATTAATATATACATGTGATAAAATTGTACAGAAGTATAGACACACACAAATAAGTACATGTAAAAACTGGAGAAATATAATTAAGGTCTGTAGTTTGTACCAATGTCAATTTCCTGGTTTTGATACAACCACTGCAGTTATGCAAGATCTTAACAGTGGGGCAAACTTAGTGAAGGGTACAGGAGCCTTCTCTAAACTCTTTTTGCAACTTTCTGTGAGTCTGTAATTATTTCAGAATGATTCTTTTTTAATACAGTCTAACACGATTTACAATTGTCTAAACAATCTCCCCTATATTTTCAAATGTCCTCTGACTTTATAGGTACTTGGAACCTGCTAAAACCAACTCTTAGGTTTGATAGTACTCTTATATCTATGTACTTCCTGTTTACATGTTGTATTTGTGAGTAGAGTTTTGCCTAATACTGCATGGGTACCTTATAGTTTTTAATTAAAGGCACTTTGGAGAAGTAAAGCAAAAAGAGATCTGTTAGTTTCACTACACTCCTATCACTAGTAAGCACAACTTAAACCACAAAAATAACACTGCCAATCAAAATGGTCAAGAGGATGGAAGACTCCAAGGTGTAAGCAAAAAACAAACAGGCAAACAAAAGTGTCAGAGTATTTTAATGCAGAAAGAGAAAAGCTGAGACAAAATAATAATAAAAAGCACAGAAATGACAACCATGAAGACTGATAGTTACACATCTTATGCTTTAAAAACAAAAGCACAGCATGGTATAATGTTAAAGCCTCATAAGCTTGTGTGTAGTTAGGTAAAAAATAATTCATGCTTTACTTTAAAGACTGAGCATAAATTAAGGGACATTTTAAATTTTGTTCTCCTTTCCTTTTTAATCACACAAATTTTCTATTCTCCAAATAACTGAAAACTGATCATTTTTTCAAGAGCCCAAGATGAAAAAAGTATTAGTAATTAACAAACCAATTTCATCTCAAAATATTCTTATATATATATTTTTTTTCCGAGACGGAGTCTCGCTCTGTTGCCCAGGCTGGAACGCAGTGGCGCGATCTTGGCTCACGGCAACCTCCACCCCCCCAGTTCAAGAGATTCTTCTTCCTCAGCCGCCTAAGTAGCTGGGACTACAGGCACATGCCACCATGCCCGACTAATTTTTGTATTTTTAGCAGAGACAGGTTTCACCATATTGGCCAGGCTGGTCTCAAACTCCTGACCTCGTGATCCACCCACCTCAGCCTCCCAAAGTGCTGCGATTACAGGCGTCAGCCACCGCGCCTGGCCACATTCTTATATTTTCTAAGAATATTCATGAAAGTGAAAAAAGAAGATAGCGGAGCTAGGGCCAAGTGGCTGAAGGGACTGAATCAGCTTAAGCCAGAGCAGTGAAAAGTCTCTGTATTCTCCCTCCACCCCACCCCCACCCCGCCAGAAAGAAGAACCCAGAGAAACAAAGATCAGGTCTAGCAAAGTCAAACCCATAACCAGAGGTTGGTAACACTGAGGGGTGTTACTATAGACTCCTCTCAGGGAGAGTAGGAATGCCTGGATCCTGCACAGAATGATTTCCGCATAGATGTGATTTTAGAGGACGACAACATGATCTCACTGGGGCTCTTCATCTTCTGCCAGATGTAGTTTCCTCTCTGGAGAAAGGAAAAGAGCCCTGGGAAGTTGTGATGGATGAGACAAAAGGATACATTTCAGGAAGATGTGCGTGCAACTGAAAGCCTTGATGATCCAGGCTCACTTTGAGCTAAGGATGACGAGGGGGCATTTCTGATCAATAACCTGTAAATGGGAAGAACTAGTTGAAGTTTACAAGAAAGCTAACATATGCTTCACTAAAGGAGACATAGTAAGCTAGCACATGTTCCAGCTAGAAACATGGATGTG